TGGACTTTTGATAGATTGATATTTTAACGCTAAGCACGAATATCGTGTAGTGTCGTGTATTTTATTAAAACATTCTCTCTGCTTCGACTGGAGTTGGCCCAATGGTAAAAAATAAATAAATTTGTCTCTTCTATGTTCTATATCCCCTCACAACGTGGCCGATCATGGCTCTTCACAACTTCCTATCATTTGTCGTTCTTAGCAATATTTGTCTTTTTATCATCGCTCACAGCCCTTTTTCTGCCATTCATTTACACAAGTTCGTTAGGTAGATGATCATAGCTCTCCATATCTTCCTACTGTCGAAAATGAATTCGACTGAAAAGACCAACGTGAAGATAGTTGGCTTTATTTGAGTTTATTTTGTTTTACGCCATATCAACTTCAATGAGTTATTTAGGGCCGATAGGATTTTTACAACAGAATGGGTTATTTAATGCCGACAAAATCTTTATTATGGTAATATTTTTTTCAAAAATGCATTGCTGGTATAATGTATTGCTGGTAATAATTATTTCTTCAAAATTCATTTTTTGTAATTTTTTACAAAAAATTTTTTGCTGGTATGAAAACATATTTTTACACTTTCATAGTGTTTTGACCCCATTTTGGGGGTTAACTATTTGCCCATTGTTGGGACCCTAACAGGTGCTACCACCCCGGGTCAGAGTGGACCTGGGAACACCAGCAATTAAGAGGTGGTTCCACGCTTCTCAAAACCTCCTGATCAGAGGCCCTGCTGCTGGATGTAGTTTATCGTCTTACCAAGGAGGCCGTGATAGTTGGTGAATGACAGGGTTGCAAAAGAAAACGTCCTTCCTTTTCGACCCTCTCCGTTAGGGTCAGGTAATACAGTAATAACAGACAGGAGAAAACTTACCTGTCAAGTATGAGGTGCAGGGATTTTTATACCATACCCCTGCCCTCACGTCTTCCGCCAATCCAAATGGAAGGTTACTAAAGCGGAGAAGAATGGGGCGATCGCGCCTTAGGAGCCCCTGGTCGACAACACCGCTTCCCTCACGTAAGTCATTATTTTCGACACTATGCGTGTTTGCTACCAAAAACATGCTAAAATAAATCTCGTTTCCGAGAGAAAAATGCTACCTCAACACTAAAAGAAGTTCTTAAAAACGAGCATTTTTCGCTCGAAGACGATAATTTCCAACATGTTTCGGTAAGACAAACGTAGTTATAGCTGGTAAAAATTGTTGTATGTAAATTCCCCAAGACAAGTGAGAAGTGCTTAAAAAAGAACCAATCGACTTTTGTTAGTAACAATAGTTGTGCCAGCCTAGGCACCTCGGCGTGGTGTAATGGTTACCAAGCTTGTCTCGCTAGATCAATTAAGACTGAGTAGTGAGTTCGATCCTCACTGGGTGCCCCATACTTTCGGCCTTGTGCCACAGCTAAGCTGTGCTAAGAAAATCGTTTTGGGCACCTCGGCGTGGTGTAATGGTTAGAAAGCTTGTTTGCTAGATCAATTACGACTGAATAGTGAGTTCGATCCTCACTCGGTGCCCCATACTTTCGGCCTTGTGCCACATCTAAGTTACACTTGGAAAATCACTATAGTTACGTTAGCCTTGGTTAATGAGGCTATTCTGGTTGAAAATCACAACAGAATAGTGAGTTTGATCATCACTGGATGCCCGATACAAAATTTGTCATTAACACAAGAGGTAGCATATGAAATCAGCCATCTTAATTGAGTGTGCCGTAATGGTTGGTGAGGACAGTCTGGTTGACTATTATAATGGGTAGTGGTTTCTTAAAGGCCACAGTAGAATCTGACTTGCTCTACATCTCAACAATATGAACACTGACGAAACACCAAGACGGAGCATACACAAGAATATTACGAGTTGCATTGGACATCAGCTGGAAGAAACACCCAACAACGAAATGCCTTTATGAACACCTTCCTCCTATCTCAGTTTTGCTAAGATAGAGAAGGCTTCAGCTAGCTGGTCACTCCTGGAGAAGTAAGTTGGAACTTAGGGAGTGACACCTTCCTATAGAATCCATTGTGCAGCAAAAAATTGGATAGAAAACCTCATCATACCTACATTGACCTTCTTGTAGATGACTCTGGATGCTGTCAAAAGGACCTGCTGACAGCGATGTCTGACAGAGATGGTTTGAAGGAACAAGGCTGAAGAATCCGAGAAGAATTCTCCACCTGATGATGATGACTCAGTCTTAATTGATTTCGCGAAACAAGCTTGCTAACCATTACACCATGTCAAAGTGTCCCAATGAAGCTACTTATGACTGTGTTGGGAATCACTGGGCTAGCTGGTCACTCCTAGAGAAGCAAGTAAAAACTTGTGTGTGACACACTCCTATGGAACCAATTGTGTGGCAAAAGATCGATTGGAAGACCTTATCATACCTACATTGACCTTCTTGTAGATGACTCTGGATGCTGTCAAAAGGACCTGCTGACAGCGATGTCTGACAGAGATGGTTTGAAGGAACAAGGCTGAAGAATCCGAGAAGAATTCTCCACCTGATGATGATGACTCAGTCTTAATTGATTTCGCGAAACATGCTTGCTAACCATTACACCATGTCAAAGTGTCCCAATGAAGCTACTTATGACTGTGTTGGGAATCACTGGGCTAGCTGGTCACTCCTAGAGAAGCAAGTAAAAACTTGTGAGTGACACCCTCCTATGGAAGACATTGCGCGGCAAAAGATCGGTTGGAAGACCTCATCACACGTACATGTAGATGACTCTGGATGCTGTCAAAAGGTCCTGCCGACGGCGATGTCTGACAGAGATGGTTGGAAGGAATGAGTCAGGAGAATCTGAGAAGAATTCTCGAGCAGAACAAATGGTTTCCATTCTCATTGTGTGCACCATACAAAATTCGACGATAAATAAACCAAAAATGGTTTTTGATTCCGTAAAATAAATCAACCAAAGTCATTTAGTAAAGCCAGAAGAGCTTGGTTGGACATTAATACTGTGTAGCGAGTTCGATCCTTACTGAATACACCATACAAAATTCGATTTTATTTAACCACATAAAGATTTACAGGCAAAACTCTAGCGCTAATGGTTAGAGTGGCTAGTCTGGTTGAGCATTGCTAATGGGTAGTGAGTTCGATCTTCACTGTATGCCCCATGCAAAATTTGGCAATTCAATAACTCAACAAGAATTGACACATCGTAAAAAAGGCCTTGTTTTAATTATCGCTTATTCTTAAAAGATCTTTGGGATCTTTTTATTCTTAAAAGATCTTAAAATATCATTGGGATCTTTTTTGTTAATTCACCTCAAAATATTAATTCACACCAAAATAAAAAGAATTTATATTTACTAAAATTCATACCAAATTCTCCCAGAGCGAGGCCCTTCAATTGCACTCCGGTTGGGTTGAACTTTGCAATCGCCCTAAATGTAGGCGACTTTGAGCGCTATTTCTAAGTGTGGGGTCTACGTTCGTGCTGGCCTTGATAAACAATCCAAAACAGATTTTTTATTATTTTTTTTTAAATTGTAAAAAAAAAAAAAAAATATTCCTTGTAAGTCCCTCGAATATCATCCGCACTTACGAAATGTGAATAACTCCCTGATTTTTGGTAATTTTTCCATTCTGAGGATCGGAGTTGTTGCGAGAAAAGCTAAACAAATTTGAATTTAAAATTTATAATTTCAAAACAGTGCCAAAAATTTAATTAAACCCCCCCAAAAAACTTTGATTTGAAAACTGTCTGTATCTCCGAGATGAAGTATTATGATTACTTGCATTATTCGGACTGTTATCATCATCTTCATATTCATAATGTTTCTACCTTTGTAAGTTCCGGCCTTCTTCAGGTGATTAAAATTTCGAACCGGGTAGCCTAGTGAGTAGATTGATCTAGTTCCAAGTGCCATGCCTCTTTCGGATGTCTCAGTTATTTTTCTTTAACCCAACTCTCCAAGTTTTTTTTTTGGTTCACCACTGCTGTGGCTTGGTATTGAACTCACAACTCTTTGAGCCTAGTCACTGGATCTATCCACTGGGGCATGTGTTCTTGAGGACATCTGTATATGAATTTTTGGGACTTAATTTATAATTTCTTCATTTTATATTATTTGGTTTGAATTAACAGAAAACACCCGGTTACGGCTTCAGATAAAACGAGAGCGGATAGTCTGAATAACAAAACACCCTTCGTTTCAGGAATAGTGTATCTGGATAATTCCGATATTTTACGAAATTCCAATTTTTCACACATTTTTTATAGGATTCTTGGAGTGCTCCAAGTGCTCCAACAAAAATGGACACGACTGTTAACTTCATGTTGATACTTTTTTTTTTGATCGTTTTTCGTGTCTCGATAATTGTTCAGCTTTTCACTTTTAGTCTGTTGTCCCCTAGAATAGTGAATTACATTTTCTTACAGGTTGCTTTTCCTTGGTCTCTTTTTTTTTAATCCAGAATCGTCCTTCTCCTTGACTGGCTACTATCCGATGCTAGAGAGCCTACTCTATACTTCTCTTCGGTCTATAGTTGAGGAGAGACTAACTGAATTCACGCTTTTTTAAGTTCACTGGTGCGAAAGTGAACGCAAGAGCTCAGACCGATTCCACTTTCTGAAATGAAAAATGATATACGTGTGTGTGTGTGTGTGTGCGTGTGTGTGTGTGTATGAGACTGCATATATTTATGTATGTGTGTTTGGGTGTACATAACGGTGGATGTGTATGCATATACGCAATCGTATATAAAAGAAAAAAGAAAGAGAAAAAGCAAAGAAAAAAAGGGGATTGATTGTTTGATTTCTTTTATGGTTTATCAACCCTTTGCGGCTTATTTAAAGCCGATAACGATTAATAACGATTTACTGATACAAATCCTATTATTTAACCCATATCTGGAGGGAGAAAGGGTGGATTCATACCTTTCCGAAGTAAGTGAATATAACCGACTTTAACTGGAACTCGTCTCCCCGATTAATAATTCCGAGCCATTATCCATTACGCCACCCTCACATCGAAGCTCACTGCACCTGGTATTCTTAAGCGGTCACTCATCTAGGTACTGACCAGGTTTGACGTTGCTTAACTTCAGTGATCATACGGGGAACTGGTGTTTCACTGTGATATGGCTGTAGGCAGACATTTTCAAGAGGTGAGATAACTTCGATGACAACTCAACTTTTTTTCTCTTCGGGGGAAGCGTATTTGGCAAGTACTGGTTGAGTATTAGAACTCGGATCTCCGATTTCACATTCCGTGCCTGTATCCATTACACCACCCGCACATCCAAGCTTACGGCCCCCAGTATTTCCAAGCGGTCACCCATCAGGTTCAACGTTGCTTAACTTCGGAACAGTCGAAAAGGAGAGGAAGCGCTTATCTGAATTTGTGTGTGTGTGTGTTTGTGTGTGTGTGTGTGTGAGAGAGAGAGAGAGAGAGAGACTGTGCTTGTGTGTGTGTGCGTGTGGTTTCCTTTTTTTTTTTTTCAAACTTAATTATTTCTTGTTTCGTTTACCTTAAATCCAGCCTTTTCACTTGTTTTTTTTTCCCACCACCGTTTTAAAATAAATGTGTTTTAAATTCCTCGTTTGAAAAATGACCCATTAACGAGCCACCTGCTACCTCGTCTCGAAGCCTTCCTCTCGCCCATTAAACCTCTCAAACCCTGGGGCATTTGCCAAAGAACCGACTATTATTTCCGCAAGCAAGTGCTAATGTCCCCCCAGCATCCAATTCACACATCTACGTTCGCTAGTATTTTATTCATATTGCGAATCTTCCATCATTTTAGCTTTGGAACATACAAACTTGAATAAATATCTATTTTAAGCGCATACCATATAGCAACACTTAGATTTCGTAACCAATACGTTAGTACAATGTACTCAGACCTGTCACCTTGTGCCAAACTCAAATTAAGTTTAGTAATTAACCCTTTGATCCTGGCGTTCCTGAAACAATTTTAACTCTTCTGACCGAACTCCTGAGTCAAAATTTTCAAATAATTGGTATGTAATGTTTCACGGTAGATATAAAAATAGTTACAAGTGTTTACCCACCGTTCAACTTATAGCTGAGCATTAAGTCATTTTTTTCTACCACTGTTCAACTGGTACCTGGGCATTAAACCATTTTTCTCTCCCACCGGTAAAGCGGTTGTCAGGGCTCAAAGGATTAAATGAAAGAATAAGTCGTCGTTCCATCATGCCAAATACAGGACTGGTGATCCTACGAGCCAAGGATATTGCCAAAGGAGGAGAGAAAAAGAGGATTCATATCTTTCCCAAGGGTATTAGCACGTAAGGGAATGTAATGGATTCAAGTGGAATTTGAACTCGACTCTCCAATTCCGAGCCGCCATCCATTACTTCACCGTGCCTCCACTGAGTAGAGTTTTGGTGTGGGTGATTCAGTGAGAATCTAAATCAGTACTCATTCCCACTACAGTGACGTGGCTTCCATCTGTCTTTTCTACAAATATTTTCATGGTATTTATTCTGAGGAACAATTGGCATCAAAAGAGGAAGAGGCATGGCGCGTGTAACTAGAGCAATCTACCACGGTGAACGAAATAAAGGGTTAAGTTCGAAATTCCAATCACCTGGAGAAGGCCGTAACGTACAACGACCGAAACGTCGTGAATATGGCAAAGAAGATGAGGTCAATGTAAATAGGTTAAATAATTGGAATACCTCATATCAGAAATAGTGAAAGACCCTGAAGATGGTCGGTGTGTACGAAGACTGAAACGTCGTGAATATGACAATAAAGATGAGGAAAACAGTCTTTTTAACGAAAACCAGAGTAATATTTTGATGGTTGAATAGCACTGATATGAATTGATGAGACCTAGAAAGCCAGGGAAAATCACATCTCGTCTGGTACTTCTAGTCTATATTTCCAGAATCTTGACAAAATCCAAAGAGGAATCTGCAGTTTTATTATTCCTGGCCTGACACCCCAGCTTCAGTCACTTTCCAGTCGCTGTAACGTGACTTTCCTGTGCCTTGTCAAAAAATATTTTCATGTTAACTGTTTAGATGAGCTTTTCTTGACTTTAAGTGCATTAATAGATTGGCAGTTAGGTCCCATCAATTTACAGTTGAATTGGCAAGATATAACCGTAAGTTCTATGCTAAGTTTCTTTTTTTCACATTTATCGCTTGTGGATTTCTTTTCTGGCTTGTAGCTCTCCAGTGTAGAATTAGGCTCTCCCAGCTACGACCACAGAGTTGAATCATACACATTTCTTCCGTATTCAAAATGTGTCATATAGGAAGAAAATGAGTAACTACCGACACCGAGGTTCGAGCCTGATACTCTGGACTTATGAATATGCTTTCTACCATGTATATAAATAGCGATGTCAGGCTACGGACTGGAGTGATTATTTAAGTGACTATTGAGGGGAACTATCCAGTCGAATTAGTGTTAATTGTCATGCATCGGGTTTTGATTTAGGATTTACCGGGCGTTAAGCTGAGCTACTCTACTAACAAAGTATTCACTGAAATAGTTAATTATCTTTGGTTGACTTTTACTTCTTTGTTCTTGTTAAGTATTTATTTAAGGTTGTAATTAAATACTGTTTTATTTTAACATTGAAGTCTTGAGTTATACTTAATTATTAACGGCCACCGTACATCACAAAAGAAATGTTAGGAGGAATTTCCTCTCAGATTTTCTTTTTCTCAAGAACTGCTATTTTATTGGAACTGACGCACTGCGAAAATTGTAATCTTAACCTGTCAATCTTTATACATTCACCTTAACCTCATAATATTAACTTCAGTCTACTACCTCTTTCATTCATATCATAAACGTCGTTCAGTAATCCTCTACATTGAGTGCCTCCTGAGCCTTTTAATGTGTGAACCTTGCTAGCAAAAATAGGGAGAACAAAATCCTGTTACGCCATTATTCAAACATATCAAGGAATTTAAGAGAAACGAAATAAATAGCATTGTTCTTTGTCAAAAATAAGTACACGTTTCGACTGGCGCCAATGGTTGGTGTTCGGATCCAGATCGAAAAAGTATTTCGAATAATGATTTTCAAGGAAGGAGAGTTTTTGCAACTATGAAAATTGCCTCAACTATATATATATATATATATATATATATATATATATATATATATATATATATATATATAAATTTTGTGTATTTAGCAGCATTTTTCATTCATACATGTTTCATTAAATAATATAGACAAGTGTTGTCTATGTATTTTATATAAATTCTTTTCCTAACGTCTGATAAGCTTAATAACATTATCATTAAACGAAGAGAAGCCATTGGTTTATACCAATGGCTTCCCATACTTAATACTTCTCGAATTCACTCTCGCGTGGTCATGTGTGACGTCATGAGCTGCGGTGCGATTTTCGTTTCCAGCGTCTTATATGAACGTGTTTATCATTGCTTGGAAATCATCCATGTAAACAATTACAGACTATCATCACTGTCTTGTCCGTGTATTGCTTAATATGTTGTACTCTAATTGTCATCTTTGATAATGGCTTATGTAAGCCGAAAGCTTAGATTGGATTAATATGGATCGATACTGTAATTTTCTTTCTTCGTTTAATGATAATGTTATTAAGCTTATCAGACGTTATGAAAAGAATTTACATAAAATAAATAGACAACACTTGTCTATATTATTTAATGAAACATGTATGAATATATATATTTGCATATATGTTCATTTTTATCATTGGTCTTATTTTCTTTCACATGTCCTTATGCCATACTTGATACTAACTTAAATAAGAATCAGGAATCTAATGACTACAAGACGCTGAATTTTTTTCTCCAAGAATTCCCTTCTATTGTAACTCTTTAAAGTGTCCGGTTCCTTCTTTTTATTTTTTTACTTTTTTGCTTCCTATATTCATTATTTTTTTCTTCATTTGATAAGGTTTGTCTGCGAGTGAAACAATGCAAATTGATTCTTATCTTGGGAATTCCATTTCATTCAACACGGGACAAAATTAAAGGCTGCAACAAGTGCTTTGGAAAAAAAAAGGAAGAAATGAAGAATAATTGTGTTCTTTTTAGACGACAAGATCTTAATGAGTCCATTCCTGGAATTTCTGTTGTTTTTTGTTTCTTTTGCTTCAGTCTTGTTCAAATGGGAAATTACTCCGTAAGAAAAACAACACATATCTATATATATATATATATATACATATATGTATATACACGAACATGTAGAGATAGATTGATAGATGTCAACAGGCTGAGCAAACTCTCTCGCTAGATAGACGAAGAGAAAAGAGAGAGAGATAAAAAGAGAGATATGAGAGAGAAAGAGAGAGAAAAGAGAGTGATAGATGAAATAGAAAGAGGGAGAATGAGAAGGAAGATAAAGAAAAGCGGAAGGGCGAGGAGGAAAAGGAGAGGGGAAAATAAAGAGAAAAGAGAGAAAGAGAGTCAGAAAAGAGATAAAGGAAAGAGATAGAGAAAGGAGAGTGTAATGGAGAAGAGAGAGAAAAGAAAAGGCGAGAAAGAGAGAGGAAAGTAGGGATAGAAGAAGAAAAGAGTGAAAGACAAACACACTCCTGAGGGGATGCTTCCCCATTCCTTACAATATTAACCTCTTCGGGTCTAGAATCAGTCGCACATATCTTTATAGTCTGCCCTTACTTTATCCTTTTACGTCTGTAAAACACATTCATTCGGTAACCTTCTATCCTGAGTGGCTCTTGGGCCTTGTATTTCGTGTATATTTAATAAAAAAATATGGAAACATTGCGACATGAGCGAACAGTAAGGTTAATTCATTTTACATATCAGTACTTAATTAATTTTTGTATAGGGCACCTAGTGAGGATCTTACTCATTAATGGTCAAGCAGACTAGACTCGTTAGTCATTAATCTACGGTGAAGCGGCCAGGTGTGTCGAAATGCTTTGATGGATATATAGTTATCGCAGCGGGATTTGATGTTAATAGTAAGACGCAGTGTTTCCATATTTTTCTATTAAATATACACAAAATACAAGGCCCAAGAGCCACTCATGATAAAAGGTTACCGAATGAAGGTGTTTTACAGACGTAAAAGGATAAAGTAAGTGCAGACTATGAGCATATGTGCGACTGACTCTAGACCCGAAGACGTTAATATTGT